CACCCATGGTCGTTACACCAGACTCAATGTCAACCCTGGCGGTTACACGAGGCTCGTCACACCCATGGTCGTTACACCAGACTCAATGAAGAGGACGTCGTCTGAGCAAACAAAACTCAACAATTCTTGATGACTTCGGTGAAATCTCAATCGTTTATGTTTCATATATTTGCAAGCTTGCATATATTCTATTATGTGCTGGGTTGTCTGACGGCAAGAATCCCCCAAAACAACGTTTTGCCGCCTTGTTCGTGTTTGGTAATTCGCTCTGTCGCGAAGCAGCTCATCTACCTAACTCTTCAATTACCTCAAACGTGTCAGCACATAGCCACTCTCATCCGGATGCCCCAACTGCCCAGCATCTCTCCTGGTGGGACCATCCTTCATATATATATTCCAATTTACCGCATAGGCTGTATAACGGAATCGGGCTCTTTGACTTCGTTGATGCATGCCATGATAACCCATTTATGCAGATATATTGATGCTCATGATGAACAGGTATCTAGTGTCATATCCTTGAGTGAGTTTAAAAAGGTGAACGAGAAACGAACGACATTTCTGCCATTATATTGTGACATGTGGTCATACATGTATTCATGTAATCACTAAAAAGATGACCCTCCAAATACGACCAAAATACCCCTTCACAAACAAGCCCACCAAAATACCAAAAACACACACAAACCAACCCCCCCCCCCCAAAAAAAAAAAAAAAACCCAAAAAAATTGAGTGCTATATATCAAATCTAAATATATATCATCATCTTCCTGTACTATTTCGTAACATAAGTCAAATGTTAACATTAGCCAGTGATTTGATCCTTAAAACCAACACCGTAGTAACAACAAGCAACTTCAATTGTTAGTCCAGTGTTATTCGTTTAGTGTTTGGTTGGACAGATAGTCTAATGACATTTACTGCAGGGCGTGTCCACTGTATCCATTAATACAGTTCACCGGGGACGAGCACCTGTTTAAGTTTAAGTAGTCTAGTCTCTATGTCCTTTAAGATACCCTTAAAGTGTCCACTATTGTCGATAAAAGTCACAACGACGTTGGCTGAAGAATGGTCTTATGAGTGTGGAACCAGTTTGCTAACGACAGCCTCTGTACAAACATATTACTCTGCACATGTTCAACACACCCCTCATGGTTTATTATTGAACTCTTCCAATCCGTCCCCACTTCATATAAACATAGAAACTAGCTACAAATAGTGAGAGTGAGTGAGTGAGTGAGTGAGTGAGTGAGTGAGTGAGTGAGTGAGTGAGTGAGTTAAGAATTATAGTCAGCCTTATCGTGACTTACAAAGCTATAAATTCGTGATAAATATAGTTAATTAAACAAACAAATAAAAACCTGTAAAATAACTAGATTATCACAGGCAGAGAATTTAAAACCAGCATGTAACTTTAAAATAAAAGAATTATTACGGACAATACAATATAAAAACGGGCTGGCAATCTTTTTACGCTACTTCAACCTCCTTTGAAGGTATTGCGACTAACAATCAAAGTCATTAAGTAAATCACAAATTGTAATTCACTTACTAATTACAATACATCAAAAAGAAAACCGTTAAATCAATTTCTTTTTAAAAAGCCAGAATGAAATGAGAATGAATTTCAGTAAAACAATCCTTCAGTGATGAAATAGTTATCCCTTGTGATGGATAAAATCAATACAATCAAGCAGGACTTGCTTGACCATGATTCTCTCATCACAAGGGATACAAAATAAAGGATCTTCAGCTTTCAACAAGTATTTATGAGTATATCGAGAATGGCCAATCCGGCATCGTCTTAAAATGACCTCTTCAAATCGTGACTGACAACCCAAGTAGATGTAACTAATATAGAGTTATATTGCATGTAATTTATTGATACCTACTTGAGTGTCCCACTTCTTTTGCATTTGATGGCGGATGTAAGATCTAATCACAGCTTTCTAATCGGAGTATGGAGTGTCACAGATTTGTTGAGTGTTGCCTTTGCTGCAGCATCATCCATCGTGTTACCATTGATTCCAACATGGCTGGGTAATCAACAAAACACGATGCCATATTGGCCAGTTGCAAGAACATTATACAATTCAATTATTTCAATTAAAAGTGGATGCTTACAAGTTCAGTTTCTATGGGCCTAATGACACGAAATCAAGTCTGGAAATAGTATATATTGTATATTTAGGATGTTTATTAATATATTTAAGAGCTGTTAATGTGGTGTGAAAATTGAGCTGTCATCCGGTAATCTAGAGGATATTGTACTGGGTCCAATGACAGTGACACAAGCTTGTGGCCTCACTAATATTGCCAAGGAGGAGAACAGAGTAGGCTAGAAGGAAATATATTTTGTTACTCAATGTCAACAGCAGAAAGGAAAGGTTTAATTCATGTTCCCAGAGGTGGAATAAGAGAAGACTTCTTCTTGTACAGATCTTCATAGAGAGGATTAAAGACCGCGTTGAATGCAGGGTTGGACTCACTTGATTATAGTTTAGTGAGATCCTGTAAAGATAATTTTACCAGGCGCTGCTTTTGAGATGGCTCTTCTGTGTTTCTGTATAATATTAACATTAGATCTAGTGGGTACATGTCGTTTCATTTATTCTACAACAACGTACAATGTCTGAAGCCACAAGTTTGACAATAACGCCCACTCATCTCAGAACTGATAACATTTAATTGGCTAGCCCCCTCATATTCATAATTTCTATTGGACTTTGGAAGTTGAGACATGATTCATTCCTATGGAGTATCTAGCTGACCTTGGCGGAAAAAAGTATGTGAGTAAAAGATCATGTATTCTTCGCTGTTAAATCTGAACGTTTTTAAGAATTCCAAAATATTTCATGCATTATTTTGAACAGTATACAGTATTATCATTTGCCTAAACTGTCGTGGCAGTTCAACGCGACGCATGCGACTGTCAAGGGTGCTAAGAACGTGTCCCTCAAGGATATGAAGAGTAGCATATCAGCCACTTCCCAATCAGCATGGAGGGTCTAAGTTAGGATGTCACACCGCATGATGTTCCCTTCTGCCTAGCTCTTTCTGCAATACTAAAACCCTAAATGAAGCATGCCTAGATTTGTCCGCAGGTTCTGAATCTCACACATGCTTTTTTATACAATTATAGACTGGTGATGAGGTCAATACCTGTTTTTGTGGACCCGCGAAAAGCAATATTGACCTCGGACATCGTCCTCGGTCAATATTGTTTTTCGCGGGTCCAATACCTGTTTTATTTTTACCAGGCGCTGCTTTTGAGATGGCTCTTCTGTGTTTCTGTATAATATTAACATTAGATCTAGTGGGTACATGCCGTTTCATTTATTCTACAACAACGTACAATGTCTGAAGCCACAAGTTTGACAATAACGCCCACTCATCTCAGAACTGATAACATTTAAACATAAAACAGGTATTGACCGAATTCACCAGTCTATAATTGTTATATTATGTAATTACCGAAAAAGGGCTTCTTAAAGCCAAAACATATCCATTTAGTCATGAAAGCCATTTTCACTACAAACCAATAACGTTATGTCAACAATACTGTGACGTAAACAATAGAATGACGTCATAGCTTGACGTCATAGTAACTCAACTTAATATGAATTTTGGTCGGACCTGGGCCCACTTGCACAAAACGATTGTATCTCTACAATAGTCGTAACTCTGATTGTAAGGTAATTGTAGGGTCACCCGCCTCTTGCACAAAGCGATCGTAAGCCTACAATAGTTGTAAGTTACAATTGAAACCTACAATAGCCCACTACCTATTGTAAGTGCCTACAATCGATGGTAAAAATGGCGTCGTACGTGGCTGCCGAAGAAGTCTCAGAAAAGATGAAACGCATTTTGAGAGATAGAACATCACAATTGGAGTTATTAACGGAAGGTGAACTCATTTCAAGGTATAGGTTGCCTCGGCATGCCATATTCTCACTTTTGGAGAAAGTTCGGCCACACATCGAACATGGAACCAAGCGTTCACATGCCATTTCCCCTGAAACTCAGTTGCTGGTTACACTTCGTTACCTGAGTAAAGGAGGTTTTTTAATGGAAATAGGTGATCTACATGGCGTTCACGAGTCCTCTGTGTCTCGCTCCGTCCATCGGACAATCCGTGCCATAAACAACGTTTTGGACATCAAGTTCAATCCTGACGCAAATAAAGTTAGAATGCAGGACTTCTACAAAATAGCTGAATTCCCCTGTGTTATTGGGGCAATTGATGGTACACTTATTCCCATTAAACGACCACCTGCAGACGAAGAAGTGGCCTACGTTTGTCGGAAAGGCTTCCACGCCATAAATGTTCAAGCCGTATGTGACGCCAACTTGAGGTAAGCTTTAATTTCAGAGTAGCTTCCCTTGTATCTAAATATAGAATAAGGGAGTTAATGTTGTTCACGATTTGATCACATAATACTGAAATGTTACGATATAAAAGAATTGTAAACACCAGTTTCGTTATTATGAGACATATGGGAAAGAATAAAGTTTCATATATACAAAGAATAAGTGGGAATAATAGAGTCAAAGCTAAAACGGCTGTAGGTGAAGATTGGTACCTAATACCAGGGAGACTATATATGTTGTAGAGTATCCCTGCTAGTACGTACTCGTCTCCACTCCGAATTCGTACCCAAAACGAACTCGTACCCAAATAAACAATAATTCTTTATTCCTTTTTATTTAAGATGTATCCAAATTTAAGCACACACCTTAGATAGATAAATAAAAAAACACACATACACACATGTAAAATCACATCAGATAATTATTAAATATTGATGACAAAGCACATTGGAGCTGGTGATTTTGCAATAATTTCAAAGAGATATCAAAACACTTTTTTATTTTCAAGCAGTTGTTCAAACTAGTGGTCCCTTAAGTTAAAATAAAGTCAACTGAAACGAAAATAATAATTAATGTTTATATAAGCTTCGGTTTATTGTCCTTTTTCTTATCAATGTATAGACTCTCTGGGTTAGTTATACATCAGCAACAAAGAGTTCAAATTTTCAAAGTGTGATAATATCAGGATGGGTATAGAAAGACAAAGTGCAAACCTCCATTTTTTGTGAAATTTGTTAATCCTGTTGTTTTTCTTAGCTATGTATTTTTTGACAAATACAAAAGTCTGTATTATTTTCATAAATCCTGAAATCATGTCAATAACTTACTGATTTAAATTTTATCAGGTGGTACATTATAGTTCAAGCAATTTGAATATATTTCGAGGTGACGGGGTTTTGGTAGACAAGTTCTCTGTGGATTTAAGAATCTTGATCTTCTCCTCCTCCAACTGCAATTTTCGCCTCTGTAAATCAATAATGTTGTCTAATTTGGATGACACATCATCAAAAAATTCCCTCATGGCCTGGAGCTTCTTATTTTCAATTTGTATGATTTCATTTCCAGTCGTTGTCTTCTGTCTGGACACTAGAGAAAGTAGACAAAAAGTGTAATTGTATCTTTTTGAAATATTCTTGAAAATTGCAATCCATAAGTTATAAAACAATCAAACCTTTTTCAAAAATGATTTAGTGTACACAAATATTAATGATGTGATAATGATGCCATTCTGAGTTCAATTACATTATTATGAACAAGAAACCGGAGCAGTTATTATAATGCCATCATTCATTATGTATCAAAAGGCAATTTTGAGATACTATTATACAGATGATTATATGAACCTTTTTCACTTTTTGATTCAATAGGGAGTTGTTGGTTAACTGATGGGGTTGCTGAGGCAGAGGCTTCTGTTGTGTTCCGAGGTCCTGCTGTGAACTGACCCGCTGCTGTTGTGGCTCTAGATGCTGATGTTGATGCTGTCAGTTGTCCTTCCTCTGCAAATATATCCAAATATAAAACCTTCATTAAAAATATTAAATACATATTTGGTGTTTTTATCTTTAACCAAACATTTAGATAAACTGAGTAGCTGTGTAAAATATGCATTGAATTTTTCAAATACCCACTACAGTAAATCTGAAACAAAGACAATTACAAAAATGGTTTGGTTACTTTTCAACTTGTCATAAGTTACATGTGGAGCAGGTAGATATCAAATGATTTTCACCTGGTAGATACATCTTAACAAGATCAAGACCTCTTTGCATCAGCGGAGACTGTGGCACATCCAATATTTGAATAATTTCGTCTGAAATGAAAAACATCTTATGTAAAATCAATCAAATTGTTTGGTTTCAAAAATCAAATTTAGCGGGCTCAATCCAGTCTAACATTCCTCTAAATTAAAACACAGTAGGTTTATATCCACACTCAAAAGTCTTCAAATAAACTGTAATGTTTTCAGACTGTTTCATACACATACTCAAACATAATAAAATAGTTATTCAAATTCCTGATTTTAAATGTAACTAGATTGTTTGTACTTACTTTCAAACCCTCCAGTTTCCAGCCCTCCAACAATGCCTTCCACCTGACACTTAGGAATAAGGGAGATGACCTATAACACACCCAAAAATGTTTTCTTAAAATGAAAAAGCATTGCATATTTTTTAGTATGTGCCATAGGCTATTCAATAATTAGCCAATTTAAAAATGTACAGTACCTTCTCTTCAACTTGTGACATGGGCGGGGGTGCAGGTCCTCCACCCGTTTTCACCAGCTCTCTTTTTTGAGACATTGCCTTCTTTCTAGTTTGACATCTGCAAGAATTAAGATTTCAAATTAGAACCATTGTTTGATAGACAATTAAAATATGGGCTATTTTGCTACAATTCATTACATATATCCCACTGGCACAGACCCATGATAATTTTATCATTTTTGTGTTGATAGTGCAAAAACTATATCTATATTGCATTTACTAAGCCTGTCTGTTTATCAGGTTTGCTTAATAAATAAAGATCCACACTTACTTCAGCTCATTCCATTTTTTCCTCAGGTCAGCACCGGATCTATGGGCTGAACTGGCAGCATTTACCCTGAAAATATCATTCATTACATCTTTATCAAGATGAATATGCCTACTAGTATCCTATGGTCATATTGATTTATATCTATTATCACCATCACATTAAAAAACTACAACTTGTAAATATTGGTCTATAATGAATTTTTTTCTCCATTAAACTTGTAGATGAGTTAGAAATAAAAACTATAACCCGATCTGCCCATCTATTTAGTTTGTACGAAAACGATTAGAAACAAGAATTTTCATTGTGACCCCAAGAACAACTCACCTGTCTGCGATTTTTTCCCATATTCCATTCTTGATTTTGTGTGTAATACTGCTTGAAAAAGCTGCAGATAACACGGAATTGTGTTTCCCTATATCTTCAGTAAGGATTTCGATTTCTTGCGCAGAATAATTACTTTTTCTGACTTTTTTACTCGGAGGCGACGACATTGTTATGATCAAGCGATCGTCTGCCCTATGCAGTCAAGGGACGTAACTCTAAATTGTTGTCTATGTTGCTATGGATAATCCTATCTTCAGCACAGAAGATTACGATTGTAACTTACGATCGCAATTGTAAAATGAGATGAGTTACAACTGTGCTACAATCGCTTTTGTGCAAGAGTTGTAAGAGTTACGATCGCGATTGTAATTTCGATTGCAAATGCTTACAATTGATTGTAGCTACGATCGTTTTTTGTGCAAGTGGGCCCTGGTTTGGAGTCAATATGCTTTTCTATCGACGGTCACGTGACCGCCCCTCGACCAATCAGGTAGCCGGAAAAATATGCTTACATAATAATTAAGAAATACACTTCGCTCTACCACCATGTATAGTGTAATAAAACACACTTTCGCCCTGAACTATTATAACGTTAAAGCACTCGGACGATAGTTAAAGCACGAGGACGCTTGCGTCCGAGTGCTTTAACGTTATAATAGTTCAGGGCTAAAGTGTGTTTTATTACGCTATACATGGTGGTAGAGCGAAGTGTATTTCTTTTCTGAGATGCCAAATTTAATACTTTCTAAAGATAATTACGATTAATTTAAGGCAGAAAACAAACGACGGTGTCGGTGACCTAAATTAAGAATCCTCGCACAGGGCTTACTGGCGCGCTGTTCTATTGATCTGTCTGCCCCCTACGTTAAGACGAACGTTACCAGAAAAAAACAAATGATAACAGTTTGATGACGGTTTACGTTCGGATTGAATATACTCTCTGAATTATTTTAATTACATCTGTCATTTACGTAAACCATATGGGGCAATATGAACGTTGCATTTCTACTACCAGCGTAAGTTTAGATCAGTACATCCAGAGGAAGTTGAGTAGTCAAGCGACATTCCACAATTGCATTGTGGGAATGTAAACATTACGAACGTTACCGTGTCGCTGAAAACTTGTGAGTCGAAATGACACATTTTAACCGTCGTAAAACATCAACGTAATGTTTCCACCAGTGATGTTAGCTGCGTGAAGCAACAGGAAACCAAGAAACTGGATGCAACGGTGTAGTTTACTGTAGGAGGCCGTACGAGGCGATGCCAACTGACATGCATCGTGACGTCGCTTACATTGTGACGTAATGTAAAATGGTTCGATTACGAGGGGGCAGACTAGAATGGCGCAGTGACGGGATAACGTCATTCAATTGTTACGTCATCAAAAAACTATACCTTTATTGTCTGATAATGTATTTTTTTTCGATTGTTCTAACCGCTAGGCATCTTAGAAAGACCTTTACAGCTGTACCTAACAAAATGTCAATGAACACACGCGGATATGACAGTCGTTGCTTAAAATCGTTTTATGTTATATTGGTAGAAATTCCAACACACGCGGATATAACAGTCGTTGCTTAAAATCATTTTATGATATATTGGTAGAAATTCCAACACACGCGGATATAACAGTCGTTGCTAAAAATATCAGGCTGGTTTATTACAGCTGATCCAGTTCAGCCACGAGACACCAGATGATCTTTTGCATTCAGGTTGTCGCACAAGATTTGAAACGCAGGGATGAGCCACGTGACCTGCCGTGCTAAGATGTGCGCGCGAGTGTGGATGTGCCCGTCCTTATGAACACCCATATCGTTGGTTGTACAGATGAAACTCACTTGAAAACTGTTTAATAGGTAACACCAACTTGTAAATATCCATTGGCAGTTCCCCTTGCATCTTGCAACACACAGCCATTTCTATATATTTTCATTCACACCTTTATTATGTAATTGTTCCGATGTGTAGTGCAATCATATCTCCTTCACGTATGCCTTTATAGAGTATTCTGTTACCATGTGTTTTTTCTCTCAATCCCGCCCACTCAGGCAATCAATCAATCAATCAATCAATCAATCTTTATTCGGTACTTAAAAGGCCACAGGCCTATAGTATATTTATATACGCACTATTTACAACTGAGCCGCAGAAGAGCATATGTCAAATACTTACAGATTACAAATTTAAAGCAGATTTTCTATGTATAAATGCAAAATAGATATATATTGACAGGTTCTGTAACTGAATAGTATTTTCATTTGTTAATAACATAGTCATTTTTATTTCATTTGGATGGGTATAATAGTAGGATGTTAAATATATCTTTCTAACGTTTTCATAGGCGGGGCAGATAAAAAGAAAATGGTATTCGTCTTCTACAGCATTAACGTTACAGAGGTTGCAAATTCTATGGTTACGAGGAATATTCATGTAACGCCCAGTTTCAACAAACAACTCGTGCGATGAGCAGCGAAAACGGGATAAAGCTACACGGAATTTCTTTACAGTGATATTTGATAAATAATATTCCTGGCATATTTCAGATTTCCGGTGTTTCTAATACAGACATTTAGAGGATAGATAGATTGATTCAAGCCATCTTTGTTGATAGATGTCTTTCATTCTTTGGGTCAGTTACATACTAAAAGAATTTTCTTGTTAGGCGTTTTGATTATTCCAAACATAACCATATCCCGTTTTGAATAAAAATTCCCTTACATTAGTTACCCAATTTCTGTTCTCATTTTTATCATATATTATCATCATATTATCACATTTCTTAGGAAATCTGTGAGATGGCATAGTTAACAATCGTAACCAGTACTTTATAACTTTCATAGTAGAATATATGTACAATGGAAATATACCACACTCGCCGTATACCATAGTGCTATATGTGCTAGATTTCACACCGAGATATTTTTTGCATGCACATAAATGGTCTTTTTCTATAGATTCATAATTATTCAAACCCCATATCGCTGATCCATATAACAGTATTGGGCTTACTTTAACATCAAACATTTTAAAGAATGATTTATATGATATTTCCCCAAAAATATGGATATTTATAATTATAGTTATCAAAACCTTAAGGGCTTGTACATATGCCTGTTTTGTGTGGTTAATCCACGAAAGATGATTAGCAAAATAGATTAGCGGTGTTCAATCATATATCTCCTTCAATCGTACCTTTATAGTGTATATTGTTTCAATGTGGTGTGCAGTCATATCTCCTTCAATCGTACCTTTATAGTGTATATTGTTTCAATGTGGTGTTCAGTCATATCTCCTTTAATCGTACCTTTATAGTGTATATTGTTTCAATGTGGTGTTCAATCATATATCTTCTTCAGTCTTGCCGTTATAGTGTATATTGTTTCAATGTGTTGTGCAGTCATATCTCCTTCAATCGTACCTTTATAGTGTATATTGTTTCAATGTGGTGTGCAGTCATATCTCCTTCAATCGTACCTTTATAGTGTATATTGTTTCAATGTGTTGTGCAGTCATATCTCCTTCAATCGTACCTTTATAGCGTATATGGTTTCAATGTGGTGTGCAGTCATATCTCCCTCAGTCATACCTTTATAGCGTATATTGTTTGAATGTGGTGTTCAATCATATATCTCCTTCAGTCTTGCCTTTATAGTGTATATTGTTTCAATGTGGTGTGCAGTAATATCTCCTTCAATCGTACCTTTATAGTGTATATTGTTTCAATGTGTTGTGCAGTCATTTCTCCTTCAATCGTACCTTTATAGTGTATATTATTTCAATGTGTTGTGCAGTCATATCTCCTTCAGTCATACCTTTATAGTGTATATTGTTTCAATGTGTTGTGCAGTCATATCTCCTTCAATCGTACCTTTATAGTGTATATTGTTTCAATGTGTTGTGCAGTCATATCTCCTTCAATCGTACCTTTATAGCGTATGTTGTTTCAATGTGGTGTGCAGTCATATCTCCTTCAGTCATACCTTTATAGTGTATATTGTTTCAATCTGGTGTGCAGTCATATTTCCTCCAATCGTACCTTTATAGTGTATATTGTTTCAATGTGGTGTGCAGTCATATCTCCTTCAGTCATACCTTTATAGTGTATGTTGTTTCAATGTATATTGCAGTCATGTCTCCTTCAGTCATGCCTTTATAGCGTATATTCTCCTGATGTGGTGTGCAATCATATCGCTTTCCCTCATACCGTTATGCAGTATTTGGTTACCATGTGTTGTTTTTGTCAAACGTATCCCGTCCACCACTAGTTTGACAGTGTATATATTTTGGCGGTGTGCAATCGTCCACCCCTAATTTGACAGTGTATATATTTTGGCGGTCTGCAGTCGTCCATCCCTAGTTTGACAGTGTATATATTTTGGCGTTGTGCAATCGTCCACCCCTAGTTTGACAGTGTATATATTTTGGCGTTGTGCAATCGTCCACCCCTAGTTTGACAGTGTATATATTTTGGCGGTGTGCAATCGTCCACCCCTAGTTTGACAGTGTATATATTTTGGCGGTGTGCAAATCGTCCATCCCTAGTTTGATAGTGTATATATTTTGGCGGTGTGCAATCGTCCATCCCTAGTTTGACAGTGTATATATTTTGGCGATGTGCAGTCGTCCAACCCTAGTTTGACAGTATATATATATATTGGCCGTGTGCAATCGTCCACCCATAGTTTGACAGTGTATATATTTTGGCGGTGTGCAATCGTCCACTCATGCCTGTCAATTCCTATTGTTCCCGTGTGACGGTCGATCGCCTTCCAGTCCCTTTATACCATGTATTGTAGACGGACGATCGCCTTCCAGTCCCTTTATACCAGGTATTGTAGACGGTCGATCGCCTTCCAGTCCGTTTATACCAGGTATTGTAGACGGTCGATCGCCTTCAAGTCCCTTTATACCAGGTATTGTAGACGGTCGATCGCCTTCCAGTCCCTTATACCAGGTATTGTAGACGGTCGATTGCCTTCCAGTCCCTTTATACCAGGTATTGTAGACGGTCGATCGCCTTCCAGTCCCTTTATACCAGGTATTGTAGACGGTCGATCGCCTTCCAGTCCCTTATACCAGGTATTGTAGACGGTCGATCGCCTTCCAGTCCCTTATACCAGGTATTGTAGACGGTCGATCGCCTTCCAGTCCCTTTATACCAGGTATTGTAGACGGTCGATCGCCTTCCAGTCCCTTATACCAGGTATTGTAGACGGTCGATCGCCTTCCAGTCCCTTTATACCAGGTATTGTAGACGGTCGATCGCCTTCCAGTCCCTTATACCAGGTATTGTAGACGGTCGATTGCCTTCCAGTCCCTTTATACCAGGGATTGTAGACGGTCGATCGCCTTCCAGTCCCTTTATACCAGGTATTGTAGACGGTCGATCGCCTTCCAGTCCCTT